TTCGAGCTCCTCCAATCATTTATGCTTTCCAAAAACCCTTTTTTGTACCCTGAAAACTTCGACTTCAAAACCGTCAACGACAACAACTCAGCAGTGCTTCAAAATCTAATGGCAATGAGGAAAAAAGTGATGAGGAAGATCAAGTACATAAAATACACAAAGAAAGCAAGTATGGTTTCTGCAACATTAGCTTGTGGTGTTCTAGCAACTTCTGCTGCAATTTTAGCGACACACAATTTCGCAACAATCATTATGGGACCAGCAATATTGTGCTTTCCTTTTAAAACTTTTAAGGGGAAGCTGAGTCGAAGGATTAAGGTTTTGAGAAGTGGGTTTCTTGGTAAGGTTTGTAATCAACTTGATGTGGCGGCCAAGGGAACATATATATTGAGTAGAGACTTTGATACGACGAGTCGTTTAGTGGCCCGGCTTCACAATGAGATTGAGAGAAACAGAGAGATGATTAGGTTTTGGATGGAAAGGAAAGAGGAGAAAAAGTTGGGTTTAGAGATTGTGAAGGAGCTGAAGAAGAGTGAGGTTGGGTTTAGGAAGCAAGTTGAAGAACTTGAAGAACACGTGTACTTGTGTCTTGTTACTATCAATCGTGCGAGAGCTTTGGTTGCTAAGGAAATGGTGAGTGGCTAAGTGTAATCCAGAGGGAACAGCACTCTCCATGTATAGCACCATGTGTTTTATTTGAATGGTCTAATTGTATAGTGTAATGAAGTTAATTTGCTTTATTCCTCTGTAAATACAATTGTATCTTTATTTTTGAGAAGAGGTTGCGTATTTATATAGATGTAAGGATATAATTGAGTAAAAATGTGTGCCTATATAAGTCCCGTTTGGTACGAAATATTGAAAATAAGATATAAGGATTGAGATTACAATTAAAAAAAATCATTAAAATAATATTTAGTATGAGTAATGGCTTGTTACATGAGATTAGACAAATCCATAGGGCTAGGATTGGGTAATACCACTTCTTCCCATGGTATTCTCTAGTTCTACATATATGGGTTTGACTAATCCCATATAACAAGCAGTATCTTATACTAAATATTCTTTTAATAAATTTTCTTAATCCCAATTTCAATCTCTACTTCTAATTTTTAATACTTCCTACCGAACAAGACCCTAGAGTGTAAACTATGATCAAAATAAACAAGTTGATCGATAGATGTGATTTTTGCAACACCTATAACAATTATACCATAAAGGTTAACTAATTAGCCATTGAATCATTAAGCCAGGTTTGATCCTAGGAGAAAAGAACATTTTTATTAAACTTTTTATTAAAACTTCTTCCAAACACAAGGGTTGATCCTATATTAGTGATGAGATGTCATTTTCCCTTAATGATACCCATTTTTTCTTTCTCTTTCTCTTTCTCTTTCTATATGTATATATTGTAAAATGCCCTTGGTAAAGTTAGGGGAATAAGTACTCAATCAGGGAAATTTTAGATATCTACGGAGGTCTCGTGAAGATAGAGAAGAAACAAGCTCCAGGACTTCACCGAACCACACTATTACTATTAATAAAAATAGGTCGGCCCGGGGGAGTCGTAAGCGAAGATAGGTGTTTTTGGTGTTGGGCCTTAATAAAGTTAAAGCATCCAGCACAAGGGAAATGTGAGAATGTGTAAAGTTGCTTCCATTTTCCTCTTTTGTTGCCCTAGCCCCTAGGAACATGTTTTTGTTTTCGTTTTGGCCCTTAATAGTATGATAATTCTTTTTCCGAAACAAATGGTATGATAAATTAAAACAAGTGACCCCAGATTGCTTGTTTTTTCATTATGATATATATATTTTTACAAGTTGTCAAATGAATATATCTTTTATAATTTTTATCCGAAAATATATCTTTTATGATGTAATTTTTATTCATCCGAAATTAAAAAAGGGCCATAATCTTTTGGATTTGAAGCATTGATGGGATGTGACCATTATTTTAAAAGTTGGATCAGAAATGCTAGAAATTCACTGTTCTCTTCATTCAAGTGGTTAATCTAGTGTGGGATTGGTGATATAATAATTAAATTAAATTTTGATAACAAATAATTATATCGATATAATGTGTGTGTATATCAAAGAAATAAGTTTATACATAAAATAAGACTAATTGTCAACATAATAAAACCATAATATGTGAAATTTTCAATAAAATAACACCACACGATTGCAAATAATTGAGAATATATTTATCTTTTTGAGAATCAATTTCTTTTAAAAAGAATTTTACATGTATTTTACTTTTTTATAGTATTTTTCTATCATGCTCAAAAACTGTTTGGATTAGTTTTTTCATAAGAGACTTTTATAATATACGAAATCAGTATATGAAAGAAATTTTGTCTTGACTTATATGAAAGTATTTTTTTTTAAAATGCTTTTGAAGAACGCCAAACTCCCCCCTAAAAAGTCTGTCCAGTTTCTAATCAAATTCTAAGTCATGACTTAATGGCAACTCAATTCCAATCTTGTTCATGATGGTTTCTTTTTGAAAGAATTTGGCCAGACTTCTTCCTTATGATTACGCCAAGCATATCTTCAGAATGGCACATGAATCTGCAGAAATAGCACGGCCTTAAAATATGCTTTCTGCATCCTTGAATATTCGGGGTCCCATCATCAACTTGTTACTTCTTTAGTAGTAAAACTAATAATTATTAACTAACCTAATTAATTATTAATTCATTCTTAATATAGATTCCACTTTCACATTTAACTGATAAAGTCTGAAGAAAGCCATAAAAAGAAATCCTATTTTTGACTGCCTTTTGAAATTGACGATCAGACTTTAGCCAGCCAACATGTCGCTGTTCCTTTACCCTCGCTCACATGCGGAACGCGAGGACCATGCCCCGTGCTCATTAATATTCCTTTTTTCTTTTTCTTTTTCTTTTTTTTAACTAAGGGCCCATTTATTTCATATTCTTTACTAATTTGTTTTAGAAAACTAATCAATTAACATTTTAAAAGAAATAAGATTTCTAATTATTTTGAGAGGTTGCTCTGAATTACTTTTTAAAAAAGGGAACAATACTTTTACTAAAAACATTTGTTTAAGAAAAACACTTTTGAGATGTTTGTTTAATATTTAAAAAGTAATTAACAAGAATTTTAAAAGAAGATTTCTCTATTTTTTTTAATTAGTGAACTAGTTTTAATTTTAAATGTAAGACTTTAATTTCCTTTTATCTTTTATATTTATTATTTTCTTCAAACTAATTTATTTAATTTATAAACCGTGTGTTCTAATGTTAGATATGGATATTTTAGGAAAAATCACGCTATATTTGTTAGAATTAAATAATTTTTTTAATTTTTTAATCTTTTTAATTATTTAAATAGTTTTTATATTAAAGATCAGAGTAGTGATAAATAAGAAAAATATTCTTTTTCTTCCAATAATAAGAAGAATATTCTTAAAACATAAAAATGGACAGATATTATAAAATTTAAAGGTAACTAAATACTATCAGTTCTAAATATAGTTTGCAGTGTAAATTATACTAAATATGAGTATCTCTTTCAATACAATTCAGACGTTGATTCACTATGTTATGACTTGTGAAGAATTAGTTTCTTCTGTTTTGAATAAGATACTATGCTTTTCATAATAGAGGTCACTTTCTTTTTTGAAAGATACGGGCCCTAACACTTAAGTGGGCCTTTGAAATTAATGGCTCTCAAAAGAATTGATGATTGCTTCTTCTTGTGTTTTTTTTTTTTCTTTTTCAATTGGCAAAAGTATAGTTTATCTTTTAACTTCACATTAGATTACATTTTATTTGTTTCGGTCCTTTACTTTCATAAGATATTTCTTCAATTTTCTAATTCTAATATCCTTTATCATTAATGAAAAATTATTAACATTAATCAATAGGGATTAAGTATAGCAAAAAATGATAACTTTCATAACATGACAAAACAAGATTTAATTCCTTGTCAAAAAATATACTTATATTTAGTACCTAACTGTGTTTTAAACTCATCTAAAAACAATAACATTATTTATAAATTATACAGTATAATATTTTTAATTTTAATAACCCTCATGATTATAGTCTTAAAATTTTCGAGTTATCGCTGGCACAACTCATAATCTCACGCTCCTTTTTCACAGCTGCTATCTATCCATCCTTCCTATTTGGCTATTTATAAGAGTCAGACTAGTTGCAAGATATCTCAAATTTTTTTATTAGTTTCTTTTTTTTTTCTTGTTAATTACTTACTTTAATACTCACCATATTTGTTATATCATTTTTCAAAATGTTATTATCTTTATTTTAGTAATTTTTTAATTCTCTCTCTTATACTTTTTTCTTATAAACATGGATATTTGAAAAAAATAATTTTTATATATTTATTATTTTTAACCAATTTTAATTAACTTTTTTATCAACTTTAATATGTTTTGATAAATCTGTACTCATAAATAACAACCTATTTTTGTAAACAAAATTTATTTGGGAGTTAGTAATTTTAAACTTATAATATCCACTTAAAATTTATAATTTTCAATTTTAGTTTTAAATTCGTCTTGCACGTTGCAGGACTTCATTGGGCTCTAGGCGAACATGGTGGTCCTTGTTTGTTAAGCATCTGCCTGGAGGGACTAGCTTCCTTGCCCAAACCAACTACCATCTCCAGTTCTGATTTTCCCAACCAAAAAGATTCTCAGTTTATTTATTATTTTTTTTCCAGTTAATCTGTTCTTTTTTTTCCTTCTTTGATTTTCCATAGAAGTGAAAGCACAAGCACCAGCAGAAGCACAATCAGTATGAACAGTGATTAGGAGAGTTCTCGAAATTGGTATTTCCTTCACAGAATTTCCGCATCATAATTCGTCCCTCAGTTTCGGAGCTTCATTCCAGACTCTGCTTGCACATGCCTATGCTGGTTCCTCGCGCAGCTTCTTCTATTTTAGTGTTTTATCTGCTTTTGCTTCAACTGGTTTAGGCTTACCAAACGTTCTTCGTGCTTGAATGGCAGTTGGATTTGCATGCTTGGTTGATTACGTTCATTACTCCAGCTTTCAAGGGAACTTCGAGTGTTCGGGTACTCAGAAATTGTTGCTTCTGAGCTCGTGAGTGGAGAGATTATTGGCTGCTTATTCGGGTTTTTATCCTCTTCATCCTCAGCTATATGGTGATTTTGAAGTCCGTTCACAGAGTATTATGGTTTTGGTCCTGTGTGTTTGGTAGAATTTACAAGTTTTGCCGACTTAAAAGTATAAGTGTTGAGAATTGATATTGGGGCTTCTGGAAAAGAGAGTAATGAGTTCAAATTTTTCCCGAAGAATTAGCTGAAGAAGGGCGCTGACAGTCAATAAAAGAAAGATTTCAGGAAATGGGCGATGCTGATTCGGTTACAGTGCAAAACAAGTCCCTAGATAATTACGTACATTCGTCATCTTGTGAGGAGCCACAGATGTGCCCCGTGACAGAGAACTCTAAATCAAAAGAACCAGAAGCTAGTTCTTCGCCGGGGGGAGGTTAGTGCTCACTGGCTTTGAGTCCCTAGTTTATTGTCACTCCATCAGATATTTGATCACTGTATTGGCATTGTCATCGTATTTATCGTGGCTGTGTATGGTGTTTTCAGTCCCAAGGAGCCCTCTCATATTGATTTGAGGCAATCTTTTTCCTCCTTGTGCGGCTGAAATACTCTATGCTGACACAGCCGAAACAAGAGTTTGTTAGCTTAATTTTTTATGTTGGGGGCAGAGGCGGACTTTGGGAGACTAGGTTAGATTATAAATAAAGAATTCAGTGTGGTATCAATGGTCTTGTCGGTTTGTGAGTTGGATAAATTCATGATTACAGATCTGCGGCTAATACCGATTGTGGGATTACGTGAAGCATAGAAGCAGTGTTTCATGGCTTGGAACGAGGCCCCTTTGTTGTGAACTTAACTTTGTACTTTTTGTCCTTACTATGAAAGAAGTGATTGAACCACCAAAACTTGAATGTACACTATGCATAGTCAATTCCCACTGCGTTGGTCTGCTTCATAGCTTAAATTACTTTCTCAGACTTAATTCTAATGAAGTTCTTGCTCCTATGCATCTAGTTCATGTAGTATAAGCCTGGGAAGAGAGGAATACAAGAACCTGGTGCCAATTAAAAAAAGGAAAGACTTTCATTTCCCATATAGGGGATTGCTTAGATTGTCTAAAACTTCTTGTATGAGTTGTGTTAGCTTGCTAGCAAGATGGTATTAAGACGATTCATCTACCCTTTTTCCCCCACCCCGCCCAAAAAAAAAAAAAAACACCAAAAACCAGAGAAAAATAAGACCCAGTTAAAGGCTTTATGCATTTTATTTCATTGGGCCCAGGCAAACCTGCTTTGATGTCATAAATCTTATCCAATTTGGCACTTCTTATACCTATTGTGATCATTCTCTTTTGTGTTTCACAAAGTTGAATTTACAAAATTGGAAGTATTTTCATATCCTTCTTTTAGAACTTAATGGCATGATCTCATTTTGATTTAGAGAGTGCACACAACGCCTACCTTTTACCTTGGGAAAATGCAATTAATTGTCTCTTATTCTCAATCTTGCTACCGTTGCACAGTCAATTTTGATTAACTTCTTTCATGAAGTTTGTTTTTATGTATCATAATATTGAATATTTTTCTTGCAGGGTTGAACCATAGCATAACTGCACCTGTTGGAACTGAGAGGTACCAGCTTATTGATTATAACGAGGTTATGTTTTCTAGATCCTTAACAGAGAAGACATCATCTCCAAGGCATAGCTTGTTATTGGACAGACTTTTAGAGCGAGAAAAGGTAGGCACAAGCGTCATCACATGTACATGAGGTTAATATGTATAATTGTGCTTGTGCAATTTTATTCTGTTGAAATAAATTATACTTGTCTATGCTTTGGCCGTTGATTATACTGCTGGAACAAAATTCATCCTCATATGCTTTGAAGGTTACTTATGTCTTCAACCTATCCAATTGTTTTGGGTTATTTGGAAAATGTTTGCATGTTGTCATATTTTTTTCCTCTTGATCTTAAAGTCTGTATTTGCTCTTTATGCTTTAGAGTTACGAACTTCTTCTGTTGGTCATTACCCCTTATTGTGCTTCCCAGAAAAAATTGATTGGGAACCTTGTGAAGATACAAAATGACGGGACTGTCAAAGTGTATTTGGAAAAGAGTGAGCCTGTTGCATCAGAATTGTTAGAGCTCCAATCATTTGAAGACTTGGCAGTGAGGGACATTTTCGTTTCTGAATGCAAAAAACCAATTCCAAGGTTGCAAATTGCTATACTTGTTGTTGGAACCAGAGGGGATGTACAGCCTTTTCTGGCCATTGCAAAGAGACTACAGGCATGTCTGAATGTTTCCATTTAATTAACCTTGGTGCTTAAAAGAATTGCATTGTCAAATCATGTTATTGTTATCATTGTTACTGCCATTGTTGTTATCGCTGTTATTTGTTGTTTCTTGCCTGTGAAGTGGAACTGACGAAAATCATGTGTTTATATTAGAGGATTGGATTGAACTTTCTCTAAATAATCAAATCTGCTCTATGCATGTGTTTTTAAGCCATGGTTTCTCTGAAATCCATTAGTGACATCTGTATGCTCTAGGTTTGTTTCTTTCACCTTGGTCTAAGTCACTTTCACAATTGATGACAGCTACAAGATATCAAAGGTATAAGCTGGTTATGGTCATTGGCTGTAACATGTACCTTCTTATTCTAGGATTTCTTTTACTATCTCAGGTCCTTAATATAAGAGCTAGATAACTAATTTGGGGAGATCAAGGGAATTAGTTAAGTTGATTAATTGTAACAAATATATGTTGACTTTTCTAAATTACCCCATTTAATCATGTGTATTGGAACTATTTTTGGTGGGAACCCCTTACAATCAATAGGGATATTTTAGAAAAGCATTATAAATTTAAGAGACAAATTGGATTGAGGTCTTATATTTAGGACCAAATCTAATCTCCAACTAGCTCTTATATTAAGGAACAGAGGAAGTATTTCCTATTTGAACGTAGGGCTTGCTTCGGGTTTTCCATTTACTTCAATAGTCAAAGTTGAAGTCCCAAGCTTAATTCATGCTGATGTCCACGATCTTGCAGTTTGATGGGGAATTTCAAGCAGGTTTCAGGGTCCATTTTAGGGGGCCTGATTTTAACCATGCCAGGTCCGGGGTTGGTTAAAGCCCTGACTTTGTTTGCTGTCTGTGTTAGTATCATTTGAAGCATTTCCCTGACTTCTGCCCTTTGAGAAGTGCATGAATAGCAAGTTTTTGCTCAGATGATGCAGTCTATTAAATAGTGATTAAATGTCATCTTGTTACTGATTTGGTGCCTGTACTTGTATAATTGGCTTGCCCTGTGACCTGGAAATCATTCATACTTTAAATAATGTTAGTATTCCAAATATTTCTGTCGCAAAAGCTATGTGGTGTTCAAATATTTTATGGAGTTATATTCATTTGCATGTTGTTGATTTCAACCTGTACATATTGATTGTTGTCGTGAGGATTCTGCTATTGACTTATTCATAGGATGCCAAATCTTGACCTTCCAGCTAATATATTCTGCCTGTCAACTGTTATGTTTGTTGAATGTCACTTTCTTTAGTTGTTTGATTTATTACAAGTGATAATTTGATGTTTGCATGCAGGAATATGGTCATCATGTTAGGTTAGCAACTCATGCTAATTTTAACACATTTATAAAGTCAGCTGGTGTGGATTTCTATCCCTTGGGTGGTGATCCTCGAGCTTTGGCAGGATGTAAGAGGTCCCCAAGTCTAATTGATATTTGTTTTCATGTCTAATAATTCTTATTGTAGTGTTTGCGTCTGATATTAACTTGAATATGTAGAAATCTCTACAAAGTTACTTTCGTTTGACTCACCTATTGGGTTTTGCCTCCAAAAACATTCCAGAACGCATTTTTATCCTCTTGGTGAATGGACTATTTAAATTTTTTTTTATTTTTTTTTTAAGAGACTCATTTTTGCAAGGTCATCTTCAAAGGTTTCTCTGAAAACTTTGTCCAGTGTGGAAACATGAGATCTTGCTCTTATAACACACCTCTTACTGTTAGATGTCAATAGGTTTAAGAATAAGGAACAATGATGAATGTTTGGTATGATATATACTTACCATTTCCCAGCTTGCTGGCATAGAGCTGCAGAAGACATTAAACATCTGAAATGAAAATATATTTCCTTGTATAATTGACAGGACAAGGATACTAGTTCTAGGACCATGAAATTCAAGGTCAAGGATGCTTTTCATAGCATCTTTGACAACCAAATTTGAAGGTAAAATGGAGAAATTTTGATAGTAAGGAGAGGGCACCTGAAGGATCAATATATGTTGAACCTCTGCAAAACAGATAAATGTTACCTTAGGGCTAACACCAAATAGATCTAATTCTGTCAGCGTAAGAAACATACTTTGGTCTTAGTGATCATAATTCAAATGAAAATTTCTGCTTGCCAAAACATACGATTACTGGAGCTGTGCATATCGAAATAGAAGCAACTAATTCTTGTGGTCATATTTCATCTATAATGCTGGTTTCTAAAATTTAGAATTATGTCAAGATAATTCTCATTGCATTCTCCTCGTTACTATACTAATGCTGAAGCCTACAAAACCTGCCCAAATTTTTATCAAGCTAATGTACTCAATGACTGATATATAAGACTTCCAAAATTGCTACTTTTCTGTTACTCATGACTCTGTAATTTTCATATGAAGAATATTGAGCATGATTAATTGTATAACTCTACTTTAATCTCAATTCACTTTAAACTTATATTAAATGAATTATTTTATTTTACAGATATGGTCAGAAATAAAGGACTGATCCCATCAGGACCATCAGAAATATCCTCGCAAAGAAAGCAGCTGAAGGCCATTATTGAATCTCTTCTCCCAGCATGCACCGCACCTGATTTAGAAACTGGTGTTCCTTTCAGAGCTCAGGCTATTATTGCCAATCCTCCAGCATATGGTGATGGTTACAAGCTTATTAAGTTTTGTGTTTCTTAATTTAAGCATACAAATGTAATAATCTGACCTGATTATGTTCTCTGCAAGTATGATGTTTGATGGTTCTATTTTTGTATTTTGAATTGTCCTGTGTTTGATATGTTTAACCATAGAACTCAGTTCAGCTAAGATCTGTGTGTGTGTGTGTGTGTGTGTGTGTACTAAAAAAGGGTCTCATTAAATTTTTTTTACTTTTATCAAACCAGTTTAAAATGATTCATTCTAGATAGATAAATCAGCTTTTGTTACATGACATGCATGTACCAAATTGCACTGACATTTTTCACATGTATGCATGTGAAATTTTAAATGGTTATGTCACTAATTTGTTTCTGCTATAAATGCTTATGCTTGCACTTTGGAATTGGAGATAATTTTTTTCTTGAAAGGGACAAACTGAAAACAAAGGAAAAATAATGAAAATGGGAAGCTGTGCAGCTTAATATGAAGATGGAAAGAGAGGATTAGAAACACCAAGATGGAGCTGAAAAAGAAAAAGAATTGAGGGATGTCCCATTGAATAATTACATGGCAATTTTAAATGGAGTCAGGTATTTAGAGGTGCTGCTTGGGGATTTTGAAATGAATGAAAAATATCTGGGGAATTTTGAAGGATTTTGGGATGGTCAAGAATTTGAGTGGTGGTAGTGCTTAGTTGGGAGGAAAGTGGCTAGAAATTGTGAGAAATTTGAAGAAATTGATTATTTGGTTATGACTCCATTGCATGACACGGGGTTTGAGTTTTAAATTCGAAGTTTGGGATCATAATGCGGGGTTCATGGAAACTGTGGGCTCTCCAGCTTCAAGAAGTAGCTTTGTCGATAAGGCTCTTCCAAAGTTTCATATCAATAGCATTGAAACCTTCCACTGCTGCTCATCCTTTTTCTCTCTTCCTTTCCTGTATTTTATGGGATGCATGGGCTGGTAGCATGGCAAAGTATTATGATGTAGTTACAAGTTGCGTAACCTGAGCCCCACCTTAGTAGTGTAGGCTGTTGATATGTCTTATATTCTTTGGCTTCCAATGTGAATAATGGTAAAAAAGTGTTGAACATGTAATAGGGAAAAACATGGGAGATTAGGGCCACATTAATAAGTGTTGACCAATTATGAAATTGATGCCTATAACATTTGATGTTTGAACAATGCACCTTTTTCGCTGAATTTTCCTCAGTCCCTGAGAATGTGACTTAATTTCACTTACTTTGTGAAGAATATTGATAGAAATATATCTTCTTGTTATTTTGCAGGACATGCACATGTCGCTGAAGCCCTTGGGGTGCCTCTTCACATCTTCTTCACAATGCCTTGGACGTGAGTAAATATTATCATATTACTTGACTGGAAATTGTAAGATACCTCTTAGCTGAAAGATGTGATGTTACCGACAAATAAACAACTAGCTATTGGCTTGAAATATTCATGCTGTACAGATAACTTGCAGAGGAATAACTGCAGCTTTGAATATTCTGATAAATACCTTGTTTTTCTAGCAAATTGTTACTCATTATTCAATTGTAATTTTGTGCAATGTACCAATTTTCGATCCCAAGCATGTCCTGGAAATTTTAATATTGTGTTTCTCCTTGTGTACTTATTCATGTGTATATAGCAAGATTTACGTGATATCCATGCCATATGCTTCTCGTTGTAAATAATCAAATATTTTCCTTCTTGTTGGGATTAATATTTTTTTCTTTTTAATATAAGATTAAAATCAACTTAGAAGCTGATTTGGAGGCCTAGTTTAGGGATCATTACCTCTATGTAATCTTGTATCTTGTGCTTGTGTATATCACTGTTAACTGTACAGACTTTGATGATGAATGAAATTGGTGCAATAAACAACACAGTTGCTACTCCATTTTTCTTGTTGCTCAATCCAATACCTTTTGGTGTCATCTCTCACATATTTTCTTTTCAATAGGCAGGCCAACATATGAGTTCCCTCACCCTTTGGCACGTGTTCCTCAAAGTGCTGGTTATTGGGTATGTCCTTTGTTGAAAATTTTTGTTAATTTGAATTTATATGAAAGAGCTGGAGAATTACATTTACCATTAAATCTGTTTATATTTTCTTCTGCATCCAGCTGTCCTACATTGTTGTAGAACTAATGATGTGGTGGGGGATGAGAGGAATTATCAATGACTTTAGGAAACGGACATTGAAGCTTGCTCCTATCGCATACTTCAGTATGTATCGTGGATCAATATCTCATTTACCAACTGGCTATATGTGGAGTTCTCATGTTGTTCCAAAGCCAAGTGGTATGGTCAACGATGCAATTAATCATTTACTATAATAGTTGGTGATGCCCCTTTGATATCTGTTTATAATAATCATTTTTAGATTAAGTCCTTAAAAGGGGTTGATAAGCATATTATTTGGTCATTTTCATTTTGTTTGAGCTTATTTTAAGTGATTTTGCATTGTAAGAGATAAATGTGTCAGAGGAGTTTTGTCTTGTAAAACACAAAAGTGATTTTTTGGGATGTTACCAAACACCCCCAAAGTAGCTCATACATGGCTCATTTACATTTTTATTATACAATGTTCCTTTACTTTGGATGAAATTCTCGAGTAATGCAGAATTTTTTTACCCCCTAGGGGAAAGCAGTGCCTCTGCTCTAGTTCAAATTAGATCCTACCCAATTCTAAGCTGTCTAAGCTTAGCAAGAGATGTGAAAAATAGCTGTCTTGAAATGTTTAATAGACATGTTTTGTTTAATCTTTCTCAATGCTAGGAATAACCACGTTTAACATATTTGCAGACTGGGGCCCTTTAGTTGACGTTATTGGTTATTGTTTCATAAACCTTGGATCAGAGTACCAACCACGGGAAGATTTTGGGCAGTGGATTGAAAATGGACCAAAACCCATATATTTTGGGTTTGGGAGCATGGTATGGCAAATTCATATAGCGTGTTTTTTTTTTTTTTTTGGGCCCCCTTCCAACAAGCAAATTCATATAGGTAAATCAGTTTCTGATGAACTTATATCTAGTTTTGTTTTTTGGTGGTAATTATTCTTGTTATATCGTTTAAGCATATGATAGCTTTTGGCTTTTGATTTTTGTTATTCAATACTTGTAATATCAAACCCTCATCTCCTGCATACGGAGCATAGATGATACTTTGCTTTCTGTTATAAACAACAATATTTATAAATGACGCTTAATATCCTCAGCCCACCTGATGCTTAATGGGCAGATTGTGTGAACATTGTCATTGGTCGGTTCTGTGACTCTTTCTATACCCGTGCTCTCTTCAATACCTTCTTGTTTCATGCAAACATCCAAGATTCCATCGCAAACCTGCTTGAGGATTGAAAAGCTTATATGTGACTTTGTCTGGAATTCTTGTCCAAAAGTAGGGAAAACTAGGTTGGAGAAAGGGGAGCGGACTTGCCAACCATATAGAAATGAAGGATGCAATGATAAGTACCGTTTGTGCAAGAATCAGGCTTTTTTTTGATAAAATTCCGTTTTAACGTAATTGCCCAACCCTATAAACCTTAGGCTAAGGTGATGAGGCAAATATGGGCGGACTGACGGGCTGAACATGCCTTTTAAAAGGGGAATGGGTTGACATTTGTGGCGCATCCTCATAAGTGTGTGGGATGAGCTTTGAATCAAGATTAAGAGGGGGGGTGGGTGATGGCAAGAATGTAAGATTTTGGGTTGGGGACTTTATACTTCAAATTTTCTTGCAGTGAGGGATATGCGAAAATCTTTCAAAACTATGCGATTATGTATCGAAAGAGTGGTATGAGAAAATGGGTATTTCCGATTTTATCTGATCTATCAGGAGCCTATTTCAGCGTCACAAACTGTAAATATTGAATAACTTGACGAACCTATCATTGCTTTCAATGATGAGCAAGGGTAGTGGATTTGGGAATCCTTTGAGGGCACTTCCTGTATCAATTATCCTCCAAATTAAACCTCCATGTAGTGAAGATGGATCCCCAGTGTGCTATGGGAACTGGTTGAGTAGTGGTGATTTTGTTAGCATAAGAGTTTTCCCTTGTTCGGCTACACAGCACAAATCGCCAGCCAATTAAGAGAGGTGTGAAGGGAAGATGAGGATTGTGGGGCCAGGATGTTAAGGACGCTAGTCATTCATTAAGGGACCCCTTATTTTCTAAAAGAATGCATTAAGGGACTGCAAACTTGCTAAAAGAATTTGGTGATGGGTTGTGTCTACAAATTGTTGGGGAAAATTTTTAGCTCCCAACACCAGGAGTAGCTTGTGCAGAACCTTGAAGGATGAAGAAAGGATTGAATGAATGATCTCAACTAGGTCATCACCTTCAGTATTGCTTGCTGGACAATATGTAGTAGGAATAAATACTTGCTTATCAGAGGATAACTTCAGTGTGGATGAGGTGGTTCAACTCATTCTAAGTATGCTGAAAAGTCTAGAAATGTTTTGTTCTCATTACCTACATCATATTTAGAAGCTCTCCTGTGAAGGCTCTTGATAACAATGTTTGTCTATTATGGTTCAGGCAACTGAATTTTCTAGACCTTTCAAAACACAGTTCTCTGTTTAGGCTACTAATTTCTTCCCCATTTTTGTCCTATTTTTTCTGACAACCTAATTCAAACAGGGTATGAGTAGCTTTGCCATGCATGCAGAGAATTCCATCTAATTTGCTACGGTTTTAAACTGTGGGCTGTATCACCCTGTCATCTGACATGGCCCCAATATTGCAGTCGCAGTGAGCTCTGCGGCTGTGTCAGCTAAAGTGCAGTCTGCAATGGATCAATGGCCACTTTTCTGTTGTGTTTCCTACAGTAATTCTAATCACAAGAGAATTGCAATCATAATTTAATTAAACTTACTTTATATTACAAAGGAATAAATTTTAAAATAAAATGCTCGGAGCATTTTTATGATTAATGCGCTATGTGCATGCATGTCCTCTTGATCTGTTGATAAAATTTGAATTCATACGGTATCACTTTACTCTGATGGCTTACTTGTCATAAGTAAAACTTGATTTTGGAGGTATGCTTAATGCCTGTGAACTTTGCATTCTATGCTTTGACACTGGTTGACGTTTTGTAGGCAGTTTTGGAAATATTCTTAATGAGAATTTTGTGGTTTATTTTATTAGCCGCTTGAAGATTCCAAGAAAACTACCGATGTTATATTGGAGGCACTAAAGGATACAGGACAACGGGGTATTATTGATCGTGGTTGGGGAAATCTAGGGAATTGTAAGTGTTTATCTTCATCTTTTACCTGCCTCCTCAATTCTAAAATCCAGATGCTTATTCATGTTGGAGATCATATAGTTATTTCAAATTCTTGTTTCATCTTAAGTCATTTATTTGTATAAAGTTAAATAATGTTCAGTGTACATAATGAGTGTTACTGGGAGTTAATATAATGATTTTGAAATTTAGGTTTTATCTTCTGTGCTATGTCAATATTTCTAATTCCTGCCATACATTATGAAAGTTACTAGAGTTTCCGCTTCTTCATCTTTTGTAGTATTTACAAGTGTTTTATGGATTCCATATCTAAATGTTATGAATATCATAGAATTTTTCATTTGACACTTTTTTGTCACTTTTACATAACTTTAGATGCCCTTTTTCTTTGTTGAAGGATAACTGTTTTGTGATGCTCCTTTATTCTTTGGAGTTTGAATCTGGAATCTCCAGGGATAGCGTTTGAAACAACATGGATTGATTGTGAACTTGTATATTTAGGATGTAATGAGTTCATAATCATTTGACTGAATGATGAGATCCTTTAACCTTCAAGAAGCATATCTTGGACAAATTGCAAGAGTGATTCTTTGCATTGGAATGAGGAGTATTCTTTTATTAAATATGTTATAAAAGCATAGCAATACTCTGAAAAAGTAGTCTTGTTTGTGCTGGCATAAATTTTCTCCCACAGTCTAATCACGCCTCCTGGCTTTGTAGAAAGCTACAGAAATGATTGCATATGCATACACATCTCTTGCTTTGCTTCTTTTTCCTGTTTATTTCTAATGAAAAATTTAACTCATTTTTATTGTCAAAGACGAAATAAAATTTTCACTTTTTGGTGTTCTAAAGTTGAGGAGTTGTAAAAGTTTTTCCTTGAGAAAAATCCAAGAAAAACAGAAGGCGTACATTCCAGAATAACAAATTTAAGAGTATTTAGTAAGGAAGAGCTTTTCAGGATTTTCAGCGCATGTCCTGGTCAGTGTATTTCTTGCCAGGTGTCACATATTTATGTTTTTCCTTTAAAAGGAATTGAAGTATTATGAACTGTGCTTATCAAAGTACAAGGAAGGGCAAAGTTAACACCTAAGGAATACAACAAATAAGAAATAACCTACTGACTGAATATTTGAGCTTTATATGGACATATATTTATATCTTGTGTCAGCTTTTACATTCAAGACTGCCTTTGACTAAAATTTTCCTTTTAGCACTGTCTAATGACATGCCTTGATCTTTTGCCACTAATAAATTGAAGTAATGATAACCATGCATTGAATTTCATTAGTTCTGTTGATAACCACCTTAAGAATTAAATGATTTGTCTATAATACGTTGTATGTGCAATACAATAAAAACATGTATTTTGTTGCATGTGTTTAAGAACATCATCATCGTTTCACTTGCATTACGATGTCCTTATGCAGTGGAAGAAGTTCCGGAGTATGTTTTCCTTCTGGAGGAATGTCCGCATGATTGGTTGTTTCCTCAATGTTCTGCTGTGGTAAGTTTCTGTTTGTTTTCTTTCGAAGATGAAAGAAATTCATTCTCTAGTATGTGGCAGAGTTTGCGCTCCCAACAAAATCTAGAGGAGCCAGGGGGTGAATAAACAAACTAACGAAGGAAACTAACTGGAAGATATGTTGGTGCAAAATTGCAGGTGCATCATGGCGGTGCTGGAACCACAGCTACAGGATTAAAAGCTGGGGTAATGTCTTCATAAATATCTTCTTTTTATTTGATTCTTCATAATCCAAAAATCTGTTTGAATGCCTTGAATTGTCCAAGACACTATTAAATAGTAAAATATGAAATTTAATGCATAGTTGACTCTGCCAGCATTCAAGAGGCTAAGTCTATCTAATAATAATATCACTCTCTGGTGGCCTGATACTTATTGGTCCAAAATTCGCCAAAGTTGAGTTTTTTCTTTTTCGTCTATTTTGGTGATAGGCCAAGTTGGTTCTTGACGACTGTTTCTAAAGTCATGATAAAGTTCTCATTAAAATAAATTGGTATTGAATATGTTTTGATGTAATATCATGACAGTGCCCCACTACCATAGTTCCATTCTTCGGAGATCAGTTTTTCTGGGGAGACCGCATATATGAGAAAGGATTTGGACCGGCCCCAATTCCAATCTCTGAGCTCACTTGCGAGAACTTATCAAATGCCATAAAGTTCATGCTCCAGCAAGAGGTAATTCTAATTTTGTGCGTACAACATTTTGAATTTCTTCCTACTATGCCCTACTGGACATCTTGAGAATAATATGATTTATTTAGAGGGCTACGGTCATATTTATTTATGATTTGTATGAAATTTAGGCGAAGTTATGATTGGAGTAATCTCCAACAGTTATGATGCATGGCTTTCTATCGCAAAATGAATGTCTACACCTCAAGTGATATTATTGAATCATAAATTTAAAGGTGACAAAAATAAATGTATTCCTTCTTGTCGCCCCTAATATTTACTTTTGACATTTGGACTTTCTGACGAGACTGCAAATTTGAATGTTTATCAAGTGTATTGATGCTGACATCTTGCCAAACTCTTTTGAATATGCTGCTCATAATTGTAGAGAATCTTGACATCATTGCTAAGAATCCTAGTCTTGAAAGTATGTCCCAACAACCAGCCTACCCCATGAACGCCTCATCTCGGATCATAATGAACTTTAAATCTTCAGGTGAAATCTCGAGCAGTGGAAATAGCCAAGTTGATTGAGAATGAGGATGGTGTTGGTGCTGCAGTGGATGCATTTCACCGCCATCTGCCTCCTGATTTACCCCTCCCAAGTCCATCCCCGCCGGTCGAGAAGGACCAACCTTTTCCTTTGCAGTGGCTTTTTCTTCAGGTCGCAAACTTGTGTTCTGTACCTTGTGGTGGTGTGTAGGCTTTTCAAACGTAACTTCAGTCTTTTCTTTTTCATTTTCAATATATATATATATATATATATATATTAATTAACATGATTGCAGGTAGAATAGTGGTTCCTTTATTATTATTATTTTTTCCTTCCAGAATTTTACAACATAGTGATTTGCTATGTGGTATTCCATTCATTTTAGTCAAGCATCAAACTCTCTACGTTGGGGGTTTGATTAATAATTCATATTGCAGATGTACATTAGACTTGTTTTTCTACCTTTAGTATATATAAGAGGTTTTGCTATTTGGAATATGGTATTCATACATTATAACTTTTGGTTATGTAATTGATGTTTGATTATTAAATTAAGAGCTCTTTGAATTTCACTGAAAAGATTAGAGCTTCTTTTTTTTTTTTTTTCTCCCAAGTTTGAAGATACACTTTATTTAATATTAGTATTATAAAATCCGATGGAATCCAAATGAGCGGCGATCTCTTTTAATTAATTGTCAAAAGAAGTCTCTTTGATTTTACGGAAAACTTCACTTTGCTCATAGGGCACGGCCAATGTTTTAATGTCGAATTGTCCATTAATTCCAGATTAAGAATTGTTTACAATTTTAATGATCTGACACCTCAATTGGATGGGGATCATTTGATATTCTAATTTTATATAAAGTTGTAATTTAATTTTTTGACTTTAAGAAAAATACACTTTTAGCCATTTAATCCTAAAATTAGTAGTTTTAAATAATAATTTCTTTTTATGAGTATAATTGTTTTGAAAAATAAATTTAATATGTCACTATTTGAGAATGTTTAATTTTAAAATTATTTTTTTATTTTAAAGTTAAAGAAATAAAAATATATTAAACTGTCATAATCTTTGGCAAATTTGACCCTTTTCCTCCTGATCTTATTTTTTGCTTGCACCAAACGCCATTTTTCATTTACATATTTATTCTTTTTTAATTTAAAAGTAAAATCGTTGATTCTGATTACCATTTTGTCCTCATCTATCACATTCTCCCATGCTATATATATTCCACACACTCCACAGCCTGCGACTTGCCGGAGATCCCCCCCCCCCCGGGCGGCCCTTCCCTTCCATGCTTTGTCAAATCCACTCTTCAGTTAAAGTTTTCTTTTTTCTTCACCCGTGCCTGCAAGCAAGCGTCAATTTCCCAATTCACTCTTCAATTTTCCTGGTCATCATAATAATTTGCAGTTCAACCCGTGAAGGTACAGTATCTATTGAGTTATAATAAAGTGTGCTGCATTTAGCATTCTTCTTCACTTTTCTTGCTTTCCTTCTTCAGCTTTTTCCTCATGTTTCAAAGTTTCTCCCTTCCTCTTCGGCTGGAGTTGGTGGTCTGTGCTTCATTTGTGCGTTTTCTTTTTAACTTAAAGCTTGATTTGTCATCTAATCACGGTACATTCTCTTAATTAATTTTTTTTTTTGGGAAATTTGATTAAAAGTTCATGTTTCCAAACTTAATTGGCTAAAAAGACTTAAATTTAAGTAAGTGTAACTATAATTTGTATGTATAATTTTTCTTTCATTGTGTGCAATATATCATCAATTATATAGAACAATCACCAATACAAAAGTTATTTGTACACGATAGAAAAGAAGTTACATTTATAAATCATAGTTGCATTTACTTAAATTTAGGTCTTTTTAACCAATTAAAATTTTAAAAAGAATTTTTTTAATCTAATTTTCCTTTGTTTTTCAGTTTTTATATCAATATTTCTTTTCTTAAATGATAATGGATAAGAGTTTTATATTTAGCCATCAAATTTTTCACATGTTGAATTTCTTTTAATTAAAAACGTAGACATGTAATTAATCTTCTTGTAGAATAAATTGTAGTTAAATCTTTTTTAGACGAAACAAATCAAACACATACACAAAAAAGTTATTACTTTTACATGTAGGCTGGCTTATAATTTTATTATTTAATTTATTGATTTATTGGCAAGAAATGAAGTTAGAGCATACTTAGAAAAAATAGATTTTATAAATACGTCATAGTACACACATTATATGCATATCTATGGTAGAATATTTAGAATATAGGTATAGATATAGAATATAGGTATAGATAAAGATTTTATAATATATATATTAGAATTTTTAGAGTATAAAATGTAGTGCTGGTCAAAAAAAAATATGTGTAGGGAAAACATAGATTTTAATAACTATATATATTTTTATGGAAAAAATGATTATATATTTGTAGGTATAAATTATTTTTTTGGTGCTATTGTCGGTATAAATTATTGATAAAATACTTATACGTTTTATAAATTACATGATATAAAAATTAGATATGCCATATTATTTGAATCCTTATTATGTTAAAATTATTTGGTACAACAGATAAAGCATTGTTCTTGTTTATTCAAATAAATGAATTCAAAAATTTGTAAACGAAATAAATTATTGAATTTAATTATGAACTATTCTTTTGTTATGCTGGTGAATCTATTTTTTATATTTTTATGATAAAATCTATTTTTTAAAAAAATAATGGTATTATAGAGTAATTTATTTTTTAAAATATAATTTTGTTTGATTAATAATTATAATGCAACATTTATGGAGTATGATGGACCAAAGAGAGGAGTTCATATATATATATATATATATATATATATATTTGCATATTTTTAATGGTTTAGCCGGTATAACATTTGAGTTTAATAGAGTGAAATTATGAAAATTGATCCAAATGTTACATTGTGTAGGCTTAAGCAAGTTATTATACACTAGCTATAACTTTCTCCTGGTGAAATTAGAACAAACTTAGTATACAAATATTCTACACCCCTTAATCTACTATAATACCAAACGTGTAATTTGGAAAATTATTCAAATGTAAAACAAATGTTGCAAGTGAGCTATTGATTTTCAACTCAATTAACATATATAAAGTTGCACAAGCTAACAATTAATTCTCATTCAACATGTTCTAAGCACATTGATTATCAAGAAAGAGTTGCCTAAAACCAACACATTTGCTTATAATGAGATAATGACAATTTAACAATAACCCCTCAACTTGCTCTATTAACAATTGAGTTGCTCTATTTACAAATTTCTCAAGATAGACTAAGCAAGTGACATGATAGTTACTTGTCACACTAGATATTGAGCTGAAAAAATAAATAGGTCATGACAAAAATGGCCAAATCAGTCAAATTGGTGGTCGAGTCGATAGCTTAATAATTGAATGAAAAACTTATATATATAATATAAATATAACAAATGTACGAAAAAGAATGAGAATAAATCATTAAAAGATGCAATATAATTATGATAGATGTGTGCATAAACCCCAGTATTATTATTAAAAAATCATACTCAACTACTTTTAACATTTTTTATTAATATACTTTATCTGATAAAACAAAATCTCTTTCAACTCCTAATCACCATATACCATTAAACTAATATTTATTTGAAAGTAAAATTTGAATATTTAATTTAAGAGAGAACTAATTTCTAGGTCCTGATAGTTCTATCTAGTTTTGAATCAGGTGGGAATACTTTTTCTTCCCTTTTTTATTGGGTCTCTTAAATTTCTGCCATTAATTTTATTAGTCCCTCATCTTTAAAACCGTTAAATAAAGACTAATAGTGTTAGAAATTCCGTTAGAAAGGGCCAGTGTAGCAAATAATTGGAATTATTTTGACGGTTAAAGTTTGACCAAGCATTTGTGTGAAAATAAAAACTAAGAAAAAACCAATTTGTTTGAGGAACAGAGGCCGCAGAACATATTAGCACGGTTTTCAAATTCATCAAATGGAATCTAGAATGTAGAAGTTGAAGTGCATAAGGCAAACCATAAAGCAAAGGAGGTGACAGGGAAAAGAGAAACTAAGCAGAGGAAGAGCGGAAGGCAGTGATAGAACCTCCTGATTGGTTCATCAGTGGAGAGGAAGCATGCGCAGGAGACAGAAAAGGAGATGAGAGGGAAATGAGCACTGAAACTGGTTCTCTATATATATTGAACAGAATAAAGATGCTTCCTTTTTTTTTTTGTGGAAATAAGTTTCATGTTTGCATATGAGCCTCTCAATGAACGCACATAACCTTTGCAATCTATGGCTTCACTTGTAGTGCACAACCTCATAACCGTCATTACCTGCTTTGCTTTTCTCGTTTTCAGATCTACCTCCGCCGAGAGAACCGCTACCAATATGAGACTACAGGTATGTTCGGCCTCCTCTTCGATCAAACAAATTGATAAAGAAGACTGATGTAACAAATAATTGACAACTAATCTAATCAACATTAAATTCCTCTCACACTACTTCAATTCATACCCTCGCCCAACTTTTTTGCTTCTCACTCTTCCTTTGTCATCAACCTCCTCATCTTCATCTTCTTTACTTCTCACTTTCCTATTGTTGTTAGGCTCCTCATCCTTGTATTTAATTCAACTTGGACTTTTAAACAAAGGAACACACATTTTTATTTCTAGTTTTTCTACACCCATTTCTCTGTACAAGTTTAGCCATCCGATTCTCATAGATCTGTTCTGTTTCCAGCTCAAAAGTGGATTTCGGTTGGAAAATGGTTTTTCTCCTATCCAAAACGACCTATATCAAAAATAGCCCTTACCAGAAAACAAGCAGTCGTCGAGTTCGCCTAATAATCCAGTCTAACACGGCTTTCTAAATATTTGCATACATCCACACAAATACCTGTATTCTAAATACTCTAATATATATATTCTCTAATGTTAATATATACCTATATTCTATGTATTATACTATATATATAGTACATATATTATTATACATCAACAAAATCTATCGTTTTCTAAATATGTTCTAACTTTATTTCTTAACAATAAATTAAATAAAAAAAATTATAAGCTACTTACATGTAATATATAACTTGTGTGTGTCTCTATATATTTAATGCTAGTTGCTGGAAATCTTCTCCTTGGATGGAAGGTAGGTAGCCAATGCTTGACGATCAGAGTAGTCTGTCATCTAAGATTGTCACAGGTATGAGCTGTGAAGGAACATGTTCTTTCATACTCAAATATGACAAGCTTGCAAACATCTTCACAATAATTATTTCCAAAATATAGTCACCAAAGTTTTATTCTTATCATAGACAGATATATTAAGTATTGCAATGAAACACTACCAGTTATATTATCATATCATACTGTTTTATTTGATAGCCTTATACTTAGCCTAACAATGAAAAGCATGAATTGTATTTTTATCCTGCAAGGTATAGACTTCTATCGAAATACCTTTAAATCATTACTTGAAGATGAAAACACTTCTTCCCATGATATGATTTCCCAGAATCATTGCACACAAACATAGGCTTCAGTAGTGGCAACTCTTGACAAT